AATAAGAGCCTGTTTGGTTGGAGGATTCATTCTCTGATTCGAATCATGGTTCATGATTTGCTACAGTATTTTCTCTCACAAAAAACACACGTAAATAAAAAATGGTTCTAATCCATGAACCAAACGGACTCTAAGAGTAGAGTATGAGTTTGAGGGCATCATACCGGTCTATGTCCCGCCTGATTTCCATCCCTAACTATTTCAAAGAAAAAAGTACCTCAGTAGTGGTTTAAGTCAAAAGAAAAACTTACCGGGTGCGTTGGAATTAGTTCCAAAATGATTTTATTTTCTGTATGAAAATGGAAATGAAAATGTTTTCATTTTCATTTTGAAATTATTTCTGAAAATGCGTTTGGTAGTTTTATTTAAAGATTGATTTCAGTTTAAAAAAACTGAAATTGCGTTTGATGGTTTAATTTTTGAAAACATGTAATAATATTTAAAATAATAATATATTTAATAAATAATATTATTAGATATATTAAATAATAATATATTAAATAAAAATATTAAATAAACATGATTATACATGAAACTGAAATTCGAGACTTAAACAAATACCCAGAAACAGAAAAATATGCAGAGGATAGAATAAGCAATGCCCATAAACGAATCCTTCAAATCGACAAACGGGTATTCTTAATTTCATTTTACTCAGCTCAGAATCACACGAAATTTTGAATCATTAAGCAAAAATCCAAACTGGGTCTCACTCATTTAAATAGAAAAACGTAATCTGAACCAACCCAGAATCAAAACAAAGACGTACTCACCAGGAGCAATCTTGAGGAGGGACAAAGGAGGAGGGCAATCACAGATACAAGGAGGACAAGAGTTCTTGGAATTGCCTAGATTTATGCCCTTCTTGAACCTCCAATACAGAGCTAGTCCGCAAACGGCGAGAGCCGACACGACGGCGAAGATTACCAGACAACACCTCAAGCAAGCCCCATATCGCCTAAAAAAGAAAAGGAGAAAATGAAAACAGTATTATACCGTTTTCAGATTTTCAAAAATGACAAAAATGTTTTTGTTTTTGTTTTTTAAAAAGTTTTACACTAAACGCGTTTTCAGATTGCGTTTTCATTTTTTAACCTTGAAAAACATGAAAAATAAAAACAAAAACAGAAACAAACAGGGCTAGTTTTCACCTTTTCATATATTTATTTTTTAGTATTGCTCTTTCATCATATATTTAGGATTTTACAAGGTATAGGAAACAAAAGAGAGAAATAAAAATGCTAGAAAAAAAACCTCAAAAGAGTATAAAAAAAGAAATTACAAAAAAAAGATAAGAGTTTTATTTATTTATTTTTTATTTTAAGGAAACAGAAGGTGAAAGAGAGCAGCACTAAAAATAATGCATGGAAAAATACTAAAATTGAACAGTATAGCTCTTATCGACTCTTTTATATATGTAGAATTAATATTAGGATTTAGAATTTATGATTAGGATTTGGAATTTAAGATTAAGATTAGGATTTAGGATTAGAATATATATATACTCATTATATTCAACTACAAAATTATAAACAATAACTCAAAAAAAGAAAAGAAAAAAGAAATGTATTATTGTATAAAGAATGTAATAAGAAAATAATTGAAAAACATTTAATTAAATGTCACTTGCACAATTGCATTAATATGCAACAAATTATAATAACAAAATCACACGAAATGAAAAGAAACGGTCTTAAAAAAAAAAAAAAATGAAAAGAAACAGTAGCTATAAAGAGATTTGTGCAGAAAGAAAAAACAATAGCAATAAAGGTGGGACTTGCAGGTGTCTTTAATATGACATATGCAACAAGATCAATAATAACAAAATCACACAAAATGAAAAGAGATTTGTGCTAGAAAGAATAAACAATAACAATAAAGTTGGGACTTTCGAGTGTCTTTAATACGACAAAAAAATCAGAAAAAAAAAGATAGAAGAAAGAAAAAAATAGATAATTGAAAATCATAAAATTTATTAAAATCATAAATATATATGTGAAAAATCACAAACTTTAAAGATACTGATAGAAATAACAAAAGTATAAATATAGTTTTATTCAGTATATAAAATTTAAAAATTATTATCGTGGTATATTTTGTAATGGTTTTAATACTCATGATAAAAGTCAATTTGACATTAAAAATCATGACTTACATATTTCTTAAATAAGAAATTAAGAATTATGGATTTTCTTTTCTTATTTTCTTCCATGAGATATCAAATGTTTTGGATTTGGAAAAAGAGATAAATATTTTTTAAAGTGTATAATTTAGATTTTTACTCCTTATTCTTAATTAATATTTTTTAATTAAATAATTATATTACTTAAAAGAATATTAATTAAAAATAAAAAATAAAAAATCATTTTTTATATTCTACAATTTAACAATTTTCTCTTTAGATTTTATTTATTATTATTATTATTATTATTATTATTATTTAATGAAACCCAACAATCCCGTTGGAGCCCAGTTCGTTAACAAAGTAGAAGTCTGACTTCTGAGCAAGTAGGTAAAACAATAGAAAAGAAGAAAGTAATGGCCGCGTTTAAAACTCGTTTTAAAATTATTTTATTTTTTATATAAAATAAAAATAAAAATAA